GTCTTATACGCAAAATGATATTTAACTTGGAGGTTTTTCAATCATTCATATACATAAAACAAATAGACAGTTCATCACAAGAATGCTATTTGTTAAGGACAAGGATTGTTTGCCCTTCACTTCCAGTGCCCTTCCCGTGCCCTCCTGTTTGTGTGGTCACGGTTAAGTCACGTCAACATTTTATATACTATTCATTTTTGTCTTATTATATCTATAAAAAAACAATATAAAATGTTGACGTAGCTTAACCGTGACCACACAGAACAGGAGGACACGGAAAGAGCACCGGAAGTGGAGGGCAGACAATCCTTGTCCATTTGTTAAAAGAAAAGTAAGTCCCCTAGGGGGAGACAAGCATTATTATTTTTATTTTGAAGTTCTAAATTTTAGAAGCTTCTTTTGAGTAGCGGTTTTTCTTGGGTGCCACACGGAACCAGCCAATAATCTATATTATTGAGGAGAAGCCCTTATGATTAAACATTTATATAAACCCTATAAGGGCCTTTGTTTATAACTACTAGAAAAAAACAGAAAATACATATATAATAAGGACAATATCGTAAAAATGATATACAAAATTGAACACCACTTGATAAAGAGATAAGCCTCAAAACGAAAAAATTTTGCAGGATGAGGATGAGAACCGCCAAAGTGGGATTAATACTTTAAAAAAAATGAAAAAAAAATTATAACGCTGTAATATTCCCGAACATTAATGAAGCTTTACTTTCAACAAAAAGAAAAAAAAAACCTGCGAATTGATAATGACACAATAAATCTAAAATTACACGAATATAAGAGGTTTTAGCTGCTAATTCTATTTTCTCACTAAAAAAGATGTGGATTCATACAAAGCCATTCATATAAGGTAGTGTGGAGCCCCTCCTCGATGATATTAACAGTTCAAATTCTGATTGGACGGGAAAGTAATCCAATCCATGGATTACAAAAACCAAACCCAAATCCTCCTCCCAAACATCAAATAGGAAACATTGTCCCTCTCTAGACAGCTACATTACCCCCAAAATCTCACCTCCAATTTCCTAAAACGACATCGTCCTTCTAACACTTCCGCAGTCCATGCGACCATATACACAAAATATACACACTTTAAAATTATGTCATAGTCAGGTATACCTTCCTTATCTTATACCCAACCGCATACTATCAATCTCCCTATCACCAATCAAAAACCCAGAAGACCGGGACTTTTCTAGTCGGACCCTTTAACGGGTCGGGAAATCGGACCCGCCGGCGACCTGAACGCGAAAGTCACTGGGTCGTAAGCGCACCAGTGGAACCCGACTTCTCTCCCCATCTCGTTCGCCCTCGAACACCCCTCGCACGCCGTCGCTCCACTCCGGCGGCCCAGCCCAATCCCGAGCCCATCCGCCCGTCCCAGCCCCATGTCCGTCAAGTACCTCTCTTTCTCAGACTGCAGCTCCCTGGCCCCATTCTCGTACTCGGCCCGACCCGCAAAAGGCATGGTCAATCCGGCGGCGTTTCCGTTTTCGATCTCCATGCCGCGTTTTAAGAGCATAACATTCTCGCGATGGAGATTCTTGTTGATCGGATTTTGAGCTCCCAACGACGCCTTGTTGTGGTGCTCGTCTTCTTGGAAGTCTTGGTGGTGGTGGACCTGGTAATTGTGATTCTTCCGCCGCCTCGACCGCTTGAGCTCCACGAGGAAGCAGCAGTTCTTCTCTTGAGAAATCGCGCTGAAGTTGACCTTGCCGGTGATGGGGATTCGCTGGCGGGTCTCCGGCGAGGATAGGAAAACAGTGAACTGCCCCGGCAAGATTCCTATCTTGTGGCTCAGAACCGACAGGAACCGCGGGAAATCAAGCTTTGGGTAAACGACGAGGTCGCCGATATCGGTCTCGGTCTCGCCATCGGAGAAGACGACAGGGAACGAGACGCCTCCTTCGGCCTCCATCATCTCTACTCTCTCCCGTCTCCGGCGAGATGACATCAGATTTCCGGTGATTAAATTCGTCAGAGTTTTAAAAATCGAAACGTAAAATTTGGGGAATTTTGGTGGAGGTGGAGAAATGAGCAGGGGAAGGGGGTTATATGGAGCGGTGTCGGGGTTTTGGACCGAAGTGGTAAATAGGGTAAGGCAGTAGGGGTATTTAGGGAATTCTGTACTTGATGTTTTCGTAGGAAGTTCGATCGTAATTTCAAGAGCACTCATGCCATAGATGTGAAATGTGGAAGCTTGGGGCCCAATCAATTGAAAACGGTTCGTTCCGGCTTTTGTTTGGGCAATATCGGAAATTCATGGTTTTTTTGCCAGTTTAAAAAGAAAAAAAATTCTGTGATTGTATGCGTTTATCATACATTGTGCGATCAGAAATCATTTCAAATTTTAAAATTTAAAATTAAATATAAATTGCACCTAATGAAAATGATCGTACAATGTACAATGAACGGTTACGATCACGGAATCTCTCTAATCCCCAAAAAAAGGTCGTTTTCCGTGAAAAAAAAAACACAAGACATGTCAGCATCATGAATGTATTGTTGTCTGTTTTTCATTAGTTACAACATTGGAACCAGGAAGAATTTTGAACTTGACTAGTCAAGATTCAACCATAGTACCAACCGCCCTCCTCCCTTCAAAAAATATTAAGACTCTAGCCTTCATGCATGCGTTCAAGTGCGTGTAGAAGGTTTTTTTTTTTAAATTATAGCGTGCTACGCGTGACTTACACATTTTAAATATATTTATATGTGTAAATTGATAAAATGAAAGTCAAATATTTGAAGTAAATGAATAATTTTATATAATGCTAGAAGAAATCTCTCATAAACCAATTAAAATAGCTGAATTCACATAATAAAATCGGTTTCTATAGAATTCATTTAAAGTTCCACATAAGATTTAATAAACAATTGATTGAATCACATTATGCTCATGGTGAGGCTAACCCCACCCCTTCTCCCTTAGTGTAGATAATATCGTTTGTTAAAAAAAAAACACAATTATTTGACAGTTAATTTAATCACATTATTATTCTCGTGCGAAAGACATTTTCTATAAAGAAAATAATATTTAATAAACAACTGATTAAATCACATTATTGCTAACATATTGTAAGGTGCTAATTTTTTTATTTTTTTTTAAACTTTACTAATTTCTTATCAACACTACGCGTCTCTTAATATGTTTTGAATACAATATTCATGATTTTTTTTATTATTATATTTTTCTTTTCCCTTCACATGGGCACCATCAACTTTCACTCATCCTTCTATTTTTTTATTCTTTTCTCTCTTCCCACCTGCAAAAGACATTTTTTGAATTACAGTGCTCTACGCGCAACTTAGACATTTTAAATATATTTATATGCGTGAATTGCTTCAATATTTTTTATTTCGTTATTTTCTTTTTTATCATCGGCTCTACGCGCCTCTTAAGATGTTTTGAACAAAACATTTATGATTTTTCTTATTTTTTAGGGACACTTTGGATGCGGTCCCTAGCTATCAATATTCTTTGATTGAAACCTTGTTAGTTTTTAGTTTTTGATTAAGGTCCCTGACATTAATGTAATAATGTAAGTTACTATATATTTTTTAATTAAAAATTAAAAATTGAAATTTGTAATTGTTTATATTAATGAGATTTTAAATAAAACCCATAATTTATGGGATTAAAAATAATAAAATATAAATTATACTCTTTATTATATTGTGTGTGTGTGTGTACATATATGTATGGGTACATTAACCAAAATTAAAAAAAAAATTTATTGTACCAAAACATGGATACATTCTCAAATCAACGAAAAAGAATGTACCCATATAAGTTTAAACATGGATTAAAAAATTTGAATGGATTTTATATTAAAAAAAGGGTACATTTTACATATAACAAATTGATATATTTGAGAATGGGTACATTTAAGATTAAAAATTTGAAAAATTATATGAATGGGTACATTTAAGATTAAAAAATTGAGAATCTTTTTATATATAAAAAAAAAAACTAATAGGTACAAACTTAATTTAATTTAATTTTTTATTATTTTGGAAATGTTTGAATTGAAAATTAATTAGAAGTTTAATAGAGGTGTGAGTATTAAACCCTAAATTAATTACTAATTTTTATATTAAAAATTATATAATAAACAAGTAAATTCATTATCATATTAATGCTATGGACTTGAATCAAAATTTGAGAACTAATAAGGTCTTAGTCAATGAACAGTAAAAACTAGAGACCGGATACTAATTTTTCCTATTTTTTATTATATTTTTCATCCCCATCACATGGGCACCATCAACTTTGTCATTTGTTTACTCTTTTCTCTCTTCCCTTTCATTTTTTTTATTCTTTTCTCTCTTCCCATTTATATTTATATTATATTTTATGATGTCCAAATTACCAAATCACCCTTGCATGATTTGATATATTATTTTGGGCAAGTTTTGAATTTTTTTTTGTTGAGGGCGTTTGGTCCAATTTGTTTTGTTGAAGCCGTGACCCCAAATTGGGATTTGTATGAGATCTTGAGTTTGATTCTACTTTCCATTGCACCACTTGTATCACTAAAAGTATAGATTCGGTGTTTTCGAACTCAGGTGCAAGAAGACAAACACGCTGCTTTCATAACCCACAATTAGCAACAAAGTTGTTTGACCTTTGAACAGATCTCTTTTTGTAGATGTACAGTACACAAGAAATGTGTGATTTTCACTCCTTTTTAATTCCTCTGCAAACTTGAAAAGGACAAATTAGTTTTGGGTTTCTATATATTTCTAGTTGTTGACATGTGGCTCGATATAAATCATAGTCAATTACTTTGTATTGATTATCCTTGTTTTTCTCTCCATCACAAACTTGTTTATGGCTTTACGTATTAGAAGGGAAATCATTTGTTTTGTAATAAAAGAAGCTCACCTAGAAATAATTTGTGTGAGCCAATTGTGAGATTCTCTTTGTACATTTGTTATCTCAATCAATTAATAAATTAAGAGTTATTTCTTTCATTTTATTTGTTCCATTTGGTGCTCTAGCACAACACTGATTGTATTTGATTATATCAAATTACGGAATTACCGATGTACATGTTTTTTATAATTAAGATACGAACCCAGTCTGCACCTGAGTTTGAATCCCCTTCTCATAAACAAGAGTAGTTTACAATATCGTGTTGTAAACGGACATGTCAAGATTGTTTTTAAAGAAATGAAACTCATGGTAGACATGGACGCAGTCACAGATATCTGTGTTTCATGGGACAATATGGTTGGTTTTGTACACCAGAAAATATCCACCACCACCAATATAATTGGACGCCAATGCCTTTCCAGCCGATGTTGGTTGAGAGAATGCCAGTTGAGAGCGTTCGAGGACAAATCCCATGCAGAAACTTTTCCTGTGATGGAGAAATAATATGTAAACATCCAAATGCTAGATAGAACAGACATCGACAAGAAGCAAGCGAATCAATCTTCTGCGATAATAGGACAGATAATGATTTCAGATGATTGTAAGAAACTTAATGTGAGTTTCATCAAACATTCAACAGGTGTATTATTATAAGCTAAGTGAGTTATATATATTGAACTTAGCCTAACTAATGCACTAATGCAGTTTCCGGAACAAAGTCTTGGAGGGAAACCTAAAGAGATTCATATTGATTTGAATCAGACGGTTACATTGAAGATGTAACTGATGGTAACTCCTTTCCTTGATGGGAGGAACTTCCATAACCATAAGTATATATATATAGATATAGTGATATGGTCGGTGTGAAAAAGGTGTTTACCATTTCAGATTTAGACATAAACTTGTCCCATTGGGAGTTGGTAATATTTTCGATCACACGAGAGAAAAAGGTTATATTGCTGCAGTGATCTTCATGGCGTGAAATGCAGGTTAGTGTCATCAACCTTTAAAGTAATTCTCTGCCGCTCAAGCAGTGGTGTAACTGAATTCTGTCGCTCAAGCGGTGGTATAACTGTGGTCTGCCGCTCAAGCAATAAATTCTCCATACACAGATTAGGGTTTGATGGTTACGATCTCTAGAAGGACCAACAATGATCAGAGGTTCAAAAGAATTTCTTAGTTCCGAAGGACATCATCGGTATGAATAAGGACTGAATGAAAAGAACTTGCGTTTCTTTCAGACACTTGGACAATTTATTATACCAAAATCTACTTAAAGTTAGCGGACGTAATTAGCAGTTCGTGATCCAAATCGCGAAGTTTTATTATCCTACATTTGATTTCCATTTCAAAATATAGAGGAGATGATAGCAAGGACTTGGGCATACCTCAGGGTATCCAATAACTGGGTGGCTATGTGTTTTCTTCTGTTAGATGGAGTGACCCAAATAGCTCTAACGCCGCAGACAGCAGGCACTGCTTCCCTTTCGCAGAATAGAGCGCCATTGAGATTCTCATTCAATGCTTCGGGTGCAAAATGGGCTTTTTTCCTGACTTCCCTCTGAAACCTGATATCCCCAAATTGGAGAGTAGATAATTTAGCTTCATGCGTAGTAGTACCATCAGAACTTCCATCGACTGCACATGAAGGCACTTTGTGTGCTTCTTTTATTGGTTCCGCAACTAGACATCCAGCAACCCTTTGAGACAAAATGTACAGATATACCTGCAAACATAAGGGTGAGATACCAGAAACGGAGCTAATATTTCAATCATACCATAGAGAAAAACTGAGATATTCTGTCCTCCTATAAGCATAGAGGAACGCATAGACATTGGCATAATTATGAAATTACATGGCACCGAAAAATTCACGAAAGTTAAGAGAAAATCTTGAATAGATGAAAGTGTGCGCAAATGCCGATATCAATGGCTGTTCAAGAATTGTCAATGACATTTGATGCAACAAAAAATTCCAACCAGTCACCTTACACAACTTGTGCAAAATCCATCCATTTCCAAGCTCAGTCTCCATCCTTTTCACAACTTCCCCGACCTGCCAATACAACATAGTAGCGCCACTAAGCGAACCTTCTTGTATCCTTAAAACATCCCCTACTAACATATAAAAAGGTCGTACCCAGTGCACAAGGCTCCCGCTTTACGCAGGGTCTGAGAGAGGTGAATGTCGGCTAGCCTTACCCCCATTTATGGAGAGGCTGCTCCCAAGTCTCGGACCCGAGACCTACCGCTCATGGGCGAAGGCACTTGCCATCGCACCAAGTGCGACCTCTTTATATGTATCAAATTCAAGAAAACAGATTTTGTATTCGAACCTTGTTTCTCTGCGCCGGAGGATCAGAATCTAACACCAAAACAATCCGACCTCCTTCAACAGAAGGCAGATGAACAACCCTCTCATTGCACCATCCCTGCAAAATCTGGTCAGCAATTTGAGGAAACAAGCACCCATTTCTAACAAACTCATTTTTTATCAATGGACCAAACAAAGGAGACACATAACTTCTAACAAATTTGCACCTTGAATGGAATTCCATTGGTATAGTCCTTGTGAAATGCCTTGTGAGCCTTCTCATCGCCTTCGTCTCCGGCGGTATACTTGACCCCGCACGTGGAGCACGTGTGCAAATTGAAATCAGACTGACCAAAGTCTAAATAGAACTGAGCATAGCTTCTCTTCTTGTTCTTGATCACTGTTCTTCCCAATGTGGTCGATTCCGGCTTCCTGGAATTATCATCCGAAATGGGTTTCTCCGGCAATTGAACTGAACTTTTGTCCCTTCCACTACTTTAGTACACAAAGAAAAGATTGGAAGGGAAACAAAATCCAATAAATAAAAAGGGTTCATATAAATAAAAAAAAATCTAAGATTTTCTGCAAGGGAAATCCCAGAATTTAAATTCACTCTAAACCCATTTCCTAATTCTCTTAACTGAAGCGAACCCAGAAACAAAACAACTCAAAAATAAAAAACTTTTTCTCGGCATCCAAACAGCTCAAATCCCAGAACAAAAAACGAATACCTTTGCGGGTTTGGAGCTCTTCGCTTATAGGTGTTGCAGTATTGGTGCTGCGTCTTTTCCCAGACGGTCAATTCGTCGTCGTTTCCGCCGGTAACAATCGGAGGTGGGGCTGCTGGTTTGGGTGAAGAAGAAGAAGAATAGGAGGAGGAGGGTTTGAAGAAGGCACTGATCTTTGATTGCATTTCATGAATGCTTCGTATTTGATTTGAATTCGATCTGAGTTCGTTGCCCTTCCATCGTCATTTACTTTGCTTTTGGCGCGCAGAAATAGTGGGATTGAGTCAGTTTTCCCGCCTAACTTATGTAGCCTTGCAAATTTATTTGGGGCTTCTGCCCCTTTTGAATGAACCCTTGCTGTATTTTATTGAATTTGATCACTCTTTATTTTGTTACTTTTTACATGTATTTAATACAATCATTTCAACGATCAAATATAGGATTCTAATTTACATATACTCATGTAAAATTATATATAGTCGTCAGATGAGAATTGTATAAAATACATGTTAATATTGTAGTTAATGTTGTAATTAATTAAAAAGAAAACTAATGAAAATGGGTTGAAAACTTTGAGTTTTAACGATAAAGACAAAATAAAGGGTAAAATGAATAGTATCAGAATTGATTTTTTTATTCTAAAAATATGATTTTTTGTTAAAGTAAACAGTACCTATAGTTTTTCGTTAAAGTTCCCTAAATTAAATGAATAATGAGTTGCATTATGAGAACGGAGGCAGATTGTCTGCCCTCTTGTTATGGTGCCATTCTTATCCCCTCCTATTTGTGCTGTCACAGTTAAACCATGTCAACATTTTATATTGATTTTTTATAGAGATAAGACAAAAAACAATAGAAATATAAAATGTTGACGTGACTTAATTGTAACTGCATAAATAAAAGGGAATGAGAATGACACCATAACAGGAGGGCAGACAATCTGCCTCCTACAAAAACTAAGAGTTTAAAATGTTAAATATTTAACAAGCCAGTTCGCTGATTGACTCGGGACATGGACTGATGCAGATTGCAACGATAGTACAAGCTCGTGTTGATGAAGAGATTTTTAGTGTGCGGCTTAATATACAAAGTGTAATAATATAAAGGAAAACTAATGAAAAAGGTTTGAAAACTTTGAGTTTTAATGATAAGGACAAAATAAAGGGTAAAATGAATAGTATCAGGATTGACTTTTTAGTGTAAAAATGTGATTTTTCGTTAAAGTGAACAGTACCGAATGCTTTTCGTTAAGGTTTCATAATATAATTCGTTGAAAACGTGAAAAATAAAATTTCAACTGATTGTATCAGACACTTGATGTATCATACTGTTTTCTCGACACATTGAGAAATTGCTCGCGTAGGAGTGGTTAAAACGCTATGTGAATTATTAATCTGATCCCGATATTTTTTTTTTCTTTAGGTGGGGAAGAACATGTATTTACTCTTTTAGATAAAAAAACCCCCAAATTCCAGAAATCCCTAACCTTCAGCGATGATCTGGTGAGCATTTTTTGTGGTATTTTTCTGTCAGATTATTTGTGTTTTCCTTGGTTTTTTGGGTTTGTTCAAGTTGTTGAGGAATCTTTAGTTTTTGGGTTTTTGATTGAATGTGGGAGTTTATGGGTATTTGGTAGTATTTTTCTGAAGGTAATTTTTGGGTGGGTTTCTGATTACTGTAATCAATTTTGGGTATTGTAGAATGAAATAGAAAGGTAGAAGTTTGGAAACCAAGAGTAGAGCTTAAACGAAAAAAACCATGAGTTCTTTTTTTTATTTTTTATTTTTAAAGCAATTTTGGATTTTCTTTATTTACTGTTTGGTTGCTGAGAAAATTGAGTTAGTTGGTGATAAATAAGTTTCGTACTTTTGGGCCTTATTGGGATTAAATTGTTTCAATTAAGCGTTTATTCTGATTTATGGGTTCACCCACGTTGTGACAAATGTGTATTTATCTGAGGTTTTTGAAATAGTTGTGCAAAGTTAGTTTGATTACATTGTGTCTATTTTTATGGAAATTTTCTGTGTCCAACGACTGTTTTTATTGTTTTTGTCTATTGGTTGGTTCAGCAATTTATGGGAGTTCATGGTTTTTTGTTGTGTTAGACACTTATAACAAATGTAGATTGGATGCTTATTTAGAAATTGATAATTGTTTGGGTATGTTCTTGCTTCTCATCTCTTTTGTCAGTGTTTCTGAAAATTTTCATATCGGTACATGAGGTTAAGTCCGCTTGATTCTCCCATTTGAGTCATTTCATCAAATCATTGATAAAGATTTCCTCTTCAAATTTTAGTTTTGGAATAGGTAGGTGGGAAACTCTGCTTCGTTCTGTCAATAGAGTCATTTAATTTAATCTTAGAGATTTCATTTGGTTGCTTTAGTTTTGAAATAATGCAATACAATATGTTTAAAGAAAGAAAAATCTTACATGATCCATCTTTCTTCTCCCCCCCCCCCCCCTCTTTTTTTGTTTAATATTTTGTTGTTTTGAACTTTCGCTTTGCATTCTGTTTATATCCATCTACATATACAGTGATTCATCACCCTGTATTAAACTAAATTAATTGCATATAAACTATTGCAAAACTATCCTACATAGCTAGTTTCTGCCAAACCAACAGTGCTTTCATTCTCTTTTTCAAATTGAGTTTTCCCGTTTTTGTTTTGCCTTTTCTTACTTCCAGTTTTGTCCTTTCTGTGTGTTTTTGTTTACTGTGATACAAACTTTTCATAACATCCAGTCTATAATTTTATTGATAGATTTTACAGGTTGTTTCAATGTGATATGAAACTGTATTTCCTTTTAGATGGTGTTGTAGTTTTTGGTTGTTTTATTTTTTGGACTCTTAGGTTTTCTGTGGTAATGTTAGGTTATAATGGTTTTATAGATACTTAATGATGGATTACTTAGGTAATCTGTGGTCATCTTAGGTTAAAATGCTTATATAGATACCTACTAATAGATTGTAATATGTAAATGTGTTGGTCATGCTAATTATTTAGAGGTAATTTTATTAATAGATCAATTGATTGTTTAAATTGGAGATGAAGCTATATTTCCTTTTGGGTTATCATGTGGTTTTCGTTTGTTTTATTTTGTTGGTTGTTGAGTTTACCGTTGTAATCTAGCCTTGAAGTATTTATATAAATACTTAAAAACACATGTAATGGACTGAGTTAGGTGAATGAATCTGTGATGGTAACCATTTGAGAGTAATTTTACAGTTTAGGGTTTAGCATTGAGGGTTGAGGGTTTAGGTATTTCAGGTTGGTTCAATGTATACAGAAACACTGAACCAAACATATCTGATCCATCTTTGTCTACTGCCCCTTCCATTTTTAAGCCAGCATTTGCTCCCTTCAACACTAGATTGCTCTCTGTTTTATCAAAACCTAGCAGTTTTCATCATTTTATTCTCATTTTATGAGTATTCATACAAAAACTTAACATTATTGACCGTTGATTTTATCTCTGATTATCAAATTCAGATCACTCTTGAACATATTTTTTTAAGGTACGGTATCCACTGATCCTATGTTGACTTTGTTTTTTATTTGCAATTTACTCTTTGTGGTTCACAATATGTCATCCCAGGTTTTAGTTTGGACACTTTTATCATTCTCAATTCCTTAGGGTTCTTTCGATGTTTCTAAAAATATAGTATCATATTTTGATTCATTCAATAATTGAAAGACAAAAAAAGAAATCAGAGTCCTACTATTTTGTAATAATTTTTATCTCACAAACATGTACACAAATTTATCTGTGTTGCTTAACTAAATTGTGTTAAAGGACTAACCAATTTGATTAAAATATGTTATCACCTTTCTGTTAAATGCTTAGATGAAGTAGTACTGCATAGTGTTTGAGGGAAAGACTAAGTAAGATTACAACTGAGAGACATAGGTTAAAGTTTAATTGTGTAAAAAATAAAGAGATTGAACTGTCTGACAGACTAGGAATTGTAACCCCCACTTATAAGCACAAAGAAATCATCGCAAGCTAAACTAAGTAGAGTTAAATTTTTAACCTCAAATATCCTTAGGCAAACATAAAATTTTGACCCCTTTCTTGCATAGTAAAGTTATGAGAACTATCCCTTTGTCTTTATATTTTCATTCAGTTTAATTCAAATTCAATTTATATGAAATTTAACGTAATTCAATTCAGCGAGTCATCAAATTCTGTTTTTAATTTCCTTCTTTTGATGTTCAATTTATGGATTTAAATGCTTTCAGTGGAATAATATTGGATTTTTTTAACTTTGTATAGCTGTAAACATGAGCAATTTAAGACGAGATAGAACCATAGCTTACCGAATACATTCCTTCAGCATCCCTGATTTGTTTTTCTTTAGCATCACCAATTTTTGTAATGTTATATACAAATGTAAATAGCTCTTGATTAACATATGGATGTAACACATACATACACACCACATCTTAGCATATATGTTTTAGCAAATTTTAACATTTTCAACAATGTTTCAAATCCCGTAGCAACGCGCGGGTACATTTGCTAGTATTTTTCTAATCTTTGGACACTGCTTGATTTGGTTTGTCAAATGGTGCATAAATTTTCATACCTGCTTTGTTAATGTGTGTTAGACCCACCCTACTTTTGAGGTTTTCATATGCAATGCTGAACCGTTTTGTGCTCAAAGTATATAACATTTGTCTTTTCTTTCAAATTTTTTGGTAAACAATTTTACCAAATTTTTCTTCTTGTTTTGTGTTGCATATCTTTTGGATACAAAGTGTAGAGTATCAATTTAACGTTTTAAAAACAGCAAGAAACAACACCGCAGCACCGCGTGGGCACTACTGCTATTTAAAACCGAAAACCCAGAAATACAAAGGTAGAGTAAACGCCAAATTCTTCAGTTCTACCGATAGCCACTGAATCACCCATACCCACGACCAGCCCACCTCGCGGATGACAACTCCGTATATTCATAGACGCTGACCAAGTTTCCTCTCTCTCCCAGGATTTCTTGTTTAAGTGAGAGAGCGTTGGGGATCAGTTGAGCTCGCCCTCGTAATCCCTCAATCGAGACAGCCAGTTATGTCTTCAATGGAAGAAACACCTTCCCCTCCAAAGCGTCGATTGTCGTGCGCCACCTACTTCGACGCCCTCTGGTTTTGCTATTGTACGCTCCTCCTTCTTTGCATTCTCTTCCTCTTTCATTTCGGTCGAATTAATTTCACAATTGTATAGCTGGCTTATGCTATGATTTTTCCCTCAAATTTGTGTACTTTTCGGCTCTTATAACTTAATTTTAATTCAACAGAAACATGGGTTTTGCATAATTGTTCATAACATGTTTTATATATGGTCAATTTCAACTTGGTTTTATTGAATTTCTGGTGAAATGTTTTTACTGCCAATTTATTTACTGCCCACAAAAGAAGTTTGGTAATTTCTGGCAATTTCACTGATAGTCTTACAAGCTTATAAAAGCAAATTCTTGGTGGGTATATTTTTTTTATTTTTGACAATTAAATTTTGTGGATGATTCTTTGTCAGTGAAGCTTCATACATCTTTAAATCTTATTGCTAATTGTTTCTGATATCAACATTTTGTTTCTTCTAGATGTTTGCTATATTACTCATTCTATTTGGGGTTGTTTCGTAGCGTTTGTTTATTTTTATCTCTTGCATTTAATCTGATGGGCACTCGTGTTTGGCAGCTCCGGTGCATCAGATGCAGCAGTATTATAGACTTGGGTCACTTGATAACTGTTCCGGGAAATGGACTTCTCTGGTTGATTGCTTGGTTTTGAAGACGAAGAGGTCATCTGAAGTGCAGGTTTGATTTTGAGTTTGGCTGTATATTTCCATCCTTTTTCCGTGCGTTAATGTATTCCGCTTCATTACTATGTGTCTTTCCATTGGTAATTGTACAACATGCACTTCGATATTTTCCTTCGGCTTATAAATCAGATTGCTTTATTGGGGTTTCCCTTAATTTAAGGCCTATTTTGAGAAGTTGATGTCTACCAAAATCTAAATACTTAGGACTGATGGTGTGACATCCTGCATAGAAAATCTCATGCACTCACAACAACAAAATGGAGTAGGAGAACATAGACACGAACATATTGTTGAAACTGGTCTCACTTTATTGTATAAGTTGTTCTTTCCCTTCAATTCTGGCTTCATGCCAATGCCACTATAGTAGTTTTAATTGATCATCTGACTAGTAGGTAACTGCTGCTAAATCTCCGTGCATGTAGCTATACATTCATCCCAGGTTGTAGTTTCAAGGATTTTTGAGGTGTTTGCTATCCTAATATGAGGCCTTACCATTTGCATAAGTTACTAACTAAAACTAAACAATACACTCATACACATTGGATTACTAAGGGCTCGTTTGGATGTGCTTTTAAAATAACCGGAAGCACTTTTAGAGAAAATGTTTTTGGGTTCCAAAAACACTTTAAGCGCTTTCTACAAAAAGCACCAGTTATGTGTTTCTTCCATGAAGCACTTTAAGTGTTTTTCCAGGATTTACTAACATTTTTACTAAGGATTGTTTCCAAACATATTTTCACCAAAAGCGCTTTTAGTCATTTTAAAAGCACATCCAAATGAGCCCTAAGTGTTTATTTATTTAGATGATGTAGGACAATGTAAGGTGGGTGTTGCCGATAATTACGGTGGACTAAGTAATAGATATGATTTAAAGCAAGAAAGTTTAGGGTCAATGTGATTTTAAAGAAATTGGAAAATAGAAAATAATAGGGACAACAAAGAGATGAAAGTAAAGGAGGAGGTGTAGCTAGCCTTTAACATGACATACTTTTTCATTAAGCCATATTGATTTTGCTTTATAGGGAATAGCCTTAGTTATAGGCAAGGTCTTAAATGCCGATAATATCGGCGATATTTCGCCGATATTATCGGTTTTTGGCGTTACCAATATTTTAATGGTTATCCAATGAGTTTTCGTCAAAATATCGTAATATTATCAATAATATCGCGATATTACCGATTATATCCCGATATTTTGGATCTGTGCAAATCGGAGAAAAACGCCGGAGCTTCTACAGCTCCGACCGACTGTAAAAGAGCACCCTAGACTCCGATCTAGGTATCAAAATGAAATAGAAGACGAGAAGAGTGTTTTTATAACTTCCGTTTGCCGTGAAACGGTCGGAGGTGTTCGGAAAGTTCATTGACACCCAAGGCCTGGTTTCACTTTCGACGGAAAGAGGACGCTGGAGCTTACAAGCTCTGGTCAACCCCAAAACGTGGCCAACACATGTCAAATAAACTACCAAACTGAAGCCCAAGGGAAGAGGAAGAGATCTATACCATTTTCAAGGCATGCCGTTGTCGGAGCTCCACGGAGTTTCGCCTTGGAACCCACGGTCCACACCGGAAACTGGGTTTTGGTTTTCTCCAAAAATTTTGCACCGGTTTCCATGGTGCTACCATCCTTGTCTGCACTAGCAGAGGGAGAAGAAGAACGAGGGAGATGAGGGAGTGCTGGTGTGCGTGTGTGAGTTCGGGGAAGAACCGAAGAAGGAATGAGAGTTGCAAAGAGAGGGAGAGCATGGGAAAGTGGAGAGAAAGAGAGGACTGAGAGAGAAGAGAGATGAGAGCCTCGGGGACAAAAATAAGGGGGTGGACCCCTTGGGCTCACTAATTAAGATCCAAAAACAATAATTTTTTTTTAAAAATAAAAAATAAAAACCTACAAAGTAAAATTATAAACTAAAGGGAGGGGTTTTACCTTAAGGCCTTATTCGAAGATGTGACCCTTCTAAACTAGAAATATACCAACTGATGGATTGCTTTATGAAAAATTGGTAGAAGGAGACATAAAGATAAAGCCATCTAACTTGTAAGGCAACTTTCTTGACATAGTATTTTACGTCAATATATAATTTTGAACCTCATAGGAACTCTATGTGGTACTAAGTCACTAATGTATCTTACCATGCAATGTATAAAGTGTCAAATATTGTACTAATTCATTATATATAAATGATTATGGTGTGTTTAAACTTCTTTCATTAATTACTACATATTTTCTACACTCACAATGTTTGCCAGCTCGCTATATAATCAACTTAAATCAGTTAAATCCATCATGCAATGCATTTCCTTCCAATTTTTTGTGATAAACTAATAGATAATTGACTAAATAAACATCCTGCAAAGTTTCAATAAAAATTTCCAAGTTTTTCTTACAATTTCCGTGGTTTCCATATTATTTTTATTGATATCGATAATATCCCGATATTTCCATCTATATTTCCATGTTTTTGGACTACCGATATTTCCGATATCATCGATATTTTATACCTTGGTTATAGGGAAATAGAATTCTCAATGACTGCTAGAAATATTAAATGGGTCATTAAAATCCTAAAAGACTCATCGGAAAGTAAACAAAATTAGTAAGAGGGAGGTTAATGAGTTTTCTCATCAGTGTGTTGTGCATTAGCAATGCTGTGTTTCTTCCTTGTTGTCCTGATAAAAGAATTTGGGTTAGCCAGGGGCCTATTTGCCCGTCCTTTCTTACCTTGATATTCCTTTCCTTCATGCCTTTCGTCCTTACAAGATTATTTCACTAAAGTTCACATTCTTGCTTGGTTGATTTCATGAAAAACTTAAAACCTTGGATTTGTTTCAAAAAAAGAAAGCCCTACACTTCATTGTTTCTTCATTGGTGTATACAATACAGCTTTAATGGTGAATATTCGGATCACATCTTACATTTTTTCCATTGTGACTCAAATTTGGTGCACTGTGCTTCATTCCTTTGGGGTGGACAGGGTGATTCTGAGAAACTTTACTCTTTGCTCTGCAATTTCTTTTTGGTTAATGGTTTTAACAAGATATGATCACCTTGTGAAACTCTGCTTTTTTGGCTTTTCTTTTTGGTGGTTTGGTGGAGTATAAATAGGGAAACTTTTAGAATAAAGAAGACACTGTGGCTTCACCTTAGGACAATCTTTTTTTTCTTCCTTGTGGGCTTCTAGGTCTAAAACATTGAATGATATTACCCTTAGTTTGATTCTTCTAGACCGTTCTTCTCTTTGATATTTGATCTCGGTTTGGGCTTGGGTGGGACTAGTTCATCTTATTTTGTACAGTCTCTTTATAAAGAATACCTTAAATTAAAAGACTTATTAAATAATAGGAGACTGATAGAAATTAAGTCCTTCTTAGACAAATGAATCAGCTCTTAATAGCACTTGACATTAGCTATTACACTCTTTTAACTTAAGCGTTTTATAGATTCGAGTATTGGCATTACAAGGTATGAAGCAGGACTTGTGGTTTCTTGAAGTTGGTTAGACTATGAGGAAATATTCAATCCAATTGCAGTAAATCACCACTAGTTTCCTTGTGTGTTGTGGACCTAAACCAATTAATAGGGGCCAAGAAATGAGCCACTGTGGCTTGGTCCTCCATAGAAGCTGAATATTGACCCAAGACTATCATAACAGCTGAACTCACCCCAGAATTTTTGAACTTTTTAGTGATTGCATGTTTTTCTCCCCATGCCAACTGAAATTTACCATCACTTTGTTTTGGACGGTGTTTCACCAAAAGGATTTGGTTATTTGGTGCATTGGAGTCCTGCTGTTTAGGGAAGGAAATGTGAGTTGGATGGTTCCAGCTAGTTGTAATTCTTTTTTGTGAATTGGTTTCAAGTAGAGGTAGATTCTCATGTTGTGTTGTTGGTAAAAGGCCCCCCCAAGTGTTCCTTCCATGTTGGGTGGTGTTTAGAAAGCAAAAATTATTGGGTTGCTGTGTCAAAAGGATATTTGGAAACTATATTGGGGTAGTTGAGATGGAGTGATGGGATAAAGTTGCAGTCCTTTCCTTTGGGCTTCAGCGTTTTCTAAATTTTGGGATTATCTTTTTCGGCTATTTGAACTGATTAAGACGAGCTGTTCTTTAGTACTCAAATTAGTTTTAAGGACCGGCTTGTGGATTGTTGTCTAGCCTGCTTCTTGTACGTTAAGGTGGATAACCGGTCCACAGCGTTTATAGTTGATCAATTAAAGTCATTTTTCAATAAAGTACATTCTCGGCACTGATCAGCTTGTTGACATTTTTGCCATGCCCATGTCCTCAGCTCATTAAGTGAAATATGAAGCAAACAGATGGTTGGCTCTCCTCCATCTGTTTGAGGATGCTGGATAATAATACAGATAAAGCAGTGCTGTGGTTTTTCAAATGATTGCTACTAATACGGAATATGTAAAGCCTCTAAATAGTTTGAGAAGATAAGAGGGTTAACTTAGTTTTGTGATGAATTAGATGAAATTTGGTTGGTTTCCTATGGTTGTTTTTTGTTATCAGAAACAGATTTATGAGCTGTTGCTAAAGGGTCTGTTGCTTTAAAAATCATTCGGGAATTCAGAAATAAAAAAGCTCTACTTTTACTCTTCCTTTTCTCAGGCTCCTGAGCTTCCATAATTTATTGGTTGCTATACAGAATTAAAAAAACTGATTGGTTGCCCATTAGCCTATTCCTAACAGGCACCCACATAAACTTGCAACATATTTGTATGTATTGTTTTAAAATCTGTAGAAAAATAGCAGTAGTGTGTTGGTGTTGGACCCTCTAGAGAAGTGTTGATGCTTCCTGCTTGCCCTTTCATTTAATGATTGTCAGCAGTGCAGGAGATTTGTGGCTTATTTGGAATATTTCCCTTCAAACTACCCAAGAGTTGCATTTTCATTTACTTCCCCGTCTGGCACCACACCCAGTGTAGTTTTGGCAGAAGTTTGAGGGGGTGGACAACTTGGAAGAGCCATCCTTCTATTTCTCTCTTATGAATTCTGATGTATCTTGAGTCTTTGAAGTTTGTTCATGTTCTTTCAATTGGTGTTTTACCAGTGGGGAGAAGGGGTTGTGGCTTCTTATATCGGGTCATGGGAAACCATCACAGATCCAATTAGCTCCTTCCCCGCCTGTGGTAATTGCAAATTCATGTATATGGTGCAAATGTAGGAAGAGCCATCTATTCCATTTGTTCTCTGTCTCGCTTGTCAATCGATGATATATATATATATATATATATATATATGTTTCGGGCAATTACAATCTGGACTTTTTTTAATGCAGGAAATTTTGGAAACTCGGGAGAAAGGCAAGTCTCACGTCTGGACTTTTCGAACTCCAGAAGAAGCATCAGTTAACTGGAAAGAACAATTTGGAGATTTAGATGAAGTGGAATGACTGAGATTCAGTCCAGCATTCGTCTTTGCTGCCCCTCTCAACTTTTTCCCCACAATCGGCGAGCGATGTGCGCTTACAATATTGTTTCTTTTTGTCAGGAAACTCAAATGATCTTTGGTAGCAATAATATCAAACATTTTTTATCAAGTTGACCGGATTTTCCTGTTACACTTGCAAATCATGCAAAATCAGTGCAACCGCCGGCGACCTGCCTATCACCAATCAAAAACCCAGAAGGCCGCGACTTTTCTAGTCGGACCCTTTAACGGGTCGGGAAATCGGACCCGCCGGCGACCTGAACCCGAAAGTCACAGGGTCGTAAGCGCACCAGTGGAACCCGACTTCTCTCCCCATCTCGTTCGCCCTCGAACACTCCTCGCACGCCGTCGCTCCACTACGGCGGCCCAGCCCAATCCCGAGCCCATCTGCCCGTCCCAGCCCCATGTCCGTCAACTACCTCTCTTTCCCAGACTGCTGCTCCCTGGCCCCATTCTCGTACTCGACCCAACCCGCACAAGGCATGGTCAATCCGGCGGCGTTTCCGTTTTCGATCTCCATGCCGCGTTTTAAGAGCATAACATTCTCGGGACGAGAGGGATAAAGAGGACTGTCCTGAAAGTTGACGCTAAATGCAGCGGCAACCACCACCGCAAGCACCGACGCACAACTCTAAGCCGTCCATTTCCATTTCGGTTTCGGTTTGTTTCGTTAATAACCGATCCCGTTTCGGTTTTATCTTTCGGTTTTTGCCCTCTATGTGTCTCAATTCCTCCCCTTAAACCGGTTTGGTTTCGGTTTTTACCTTCAATGAAAACGTTCGATTTCGGTTTTTACCCCAGGAAACTGATCTGGTTTCGGTTTTACCTTCAGAAGAATCGGTTCTGCTTCGGCTTTGTCTTAGACCTCCCCTTTTTCTTTCGGTTTTACCTTCAGAATAATCGGTTCTGTATCGGTTTTGTCTCAGTCCTACCCTTTAATTCGGTTTTACCCATCTGGTTTCGGTTTTACCTATATAGGAACCCATCGGTTTCGGTTTTGTCTCAGTCCTCCCCTTTTTGTTTCGGTTTTCCCTCAGAAGAATCGGTTCTTTTTCGGTTATTACATTAACTACCGCTCAGGTTTCGGTTTTTACCCTTATTCTGTCTGTCTGTCTCTCGCCATTCAAATGGATTCTCGCTTGACGCCGCACCAGGACCTTACTACCATGGCTGGCGAGGTTCAACGAACTCGCATGGTTTCAGGCATTCAGAGCTTGGTAGATTGTAATTGCTCTCCCATCGAGCCGAACCAATGATTATGGCTATGTTGAAGCAGCTAGAAACAGCTTCTTCTTCGACTGAGTAGGCATTCGTCAATATGCCTACTTAGTCGAAGCTACGAAACAGCTTCTTCTACCCAAGATTTGGTTTTGTGATAATCCATGCAAGTATTGCATCCTGAATCTTTCACTATTGTCATAACGCTCCGGTTTCCACCTTTTCGGTTTCGGCTTTTGCTCTCGATCTGTCTCTGTCGCTCTCCTCAATCCGTTCGGTTTTGGTTTACCTGCTATTCGGTTTTGCTGTTAAAAGAATCGGTTCGATTTCGTTTTTTAGCTTAAGACCTGTTCGATTTCGGTTTTCAGCTTAAAACAACCGGTTCGTCTTCGGTTTTCTGCCTTAAAACAACAGGTGCTGTTTCGGTTTTAAGCTTAAGACAACGGGTACAAATTCCCTTTTACCTTATGAAAACCGGTGCAACTTCGGTTTTTACTTAAACAAATCGGTTCGGCTTCGGTTTTACCCTTCAAAGAGGGATCCCAATTTCGGTTTTTAACTCAAAGAACCGATTCTATTTCAGTTTCTACCTTCTAGGCTTGTAGGCTTACAGTACAAAAGACGACGGTGCAGCAACATTAACCGCAAGCAACAACGCACAACTCCACGCCACCGCAGCCTCCCTTTGCGGGTCCACTACTGCGGAAGCACCGCCAAAACAGGTGTCGCAGGTGATGGAGTGGCCTTCTCACGCCGGCAGCCTTATCGCCGACATAAGGCTTGGCGCCATACGCCTCCTCGAAGCCCTGTTCGTGGCTGCTCAGCCGCACCAGAGCTCCAAGCCTCCCAACTTGTTCCTCACCGAGGCTTAAACAGTTTCGATTTCATTTTTACTTTCGAAAAATGGGTTCGGTTTTTACCTTTGGTAAGGTCTCAGACTCAGTTTTTTCCTCTTCAACTATTATTGTTCATTTGAGGATAGGTTTGTTGTGCGTGACGCTCTTTTTTTTTATCGGTTGAAATTCTGGTAAGGTATTTATCGGAATTTACTATGCATATTATTCTCATTGTATTCTGATTTGCTTAATGAATATAGTACTTTTCTTCAAAAAAAAAAATAAAAAATAAAAACTGCTTCTATCACGTTTTTTACCTCGAAATATCGGTTAGTTCGGTTTTTTTTGGCTAAAAAATTCGGTTTCGGTTTTCATCTTCCGGTTTCGGTTTTTGTCTCGGTCCTCCCCCTTTTCTTTTGGTTTTACTTTGGAAAAATCGGTTTTGTTTCGGTTTGTCTCAGTCCTTCCCTTTTTCTTTCGGTTGTAAGTTGAGAAGAATCGGTTCTGTTTCGGGTTTGTCTCTGTCCTCTTTTTCTTTCGATTTTATTGTATAGGAACCTATCCGGATTCGGTTTTTGTCTCTGTCATCCCCTTGTTCTTTCGGTTTTACCTCAGAAGAATCGGTTATGTTTCGGTTTACATTAACTAATCACTCAGATTTCGGTTTTTACCCTTATGCATTCTGTCTCAGTCTCTCTCCAGCTATTCAGTTGGACTCTCACTGGATGCCGCACACACTAATCGACCCGTTGAGGTCCGACGACTTCATTTGACGCCGAAATTTTGACGGATTCCGTCACCTGCAGTGGTCTAGCGGAAGAGAGAGCTAGAGAGGACGGAGGTGTTGCGGTGGTCTAGCACCATAAACGGCAATGCAGCAACAACCACCACCGCAAGCAACGACGACTTCAAAATGTTCGGTTTCGGACCCTCCCCCAAAACGTTTTCGGTTTTTGGTTTACCTGCAATCGGTTTTGTTGTAAAAGTATAGGTTGATTTCGGTTTTAAGCTTAAGACCGGTTTGGTTTCAGTTTTAAGCTTTAAACAACCGGTTCGGTATCGGTTTTAAGCTTAAAAAGAAAAAACCATTTTGTGGACTCTCTTAAAATTAGATATTTTATAAATTCTCTGCTGCCTCATCATTTTGATATAATATTTTATAATATGAGTACGAGATTTGATGTTAAATAGTAAGATGAGAGAAAGTTGATAGAGTTCGACTTTTGAGGAAGATCGTTAGCATTCTTCTTGTTCTTGAGCTTAAACAACAGGTTCAATTCCGATGTTAAATATAAAACAAACCTGTATTTGTGGACTCTTTTAAAATTAGATTTTTATGGACTCTATATCAACCTTTTAACATAATATTAGTAAGAAATTTGAGTTAAACAATAAGATGAAAAAGAGTTCACGGGAGTTTGACTTTTGAGAGAAGGCCGTTAGCATTGCTCTTGAGCTTAAACAATAGGTTCGGTTTCAGTTTCAAGCTTTTAAAACAACCGGTCCAAATTCGGTTTTACCTTATGAAAACCAGTGCAACTTCGGTTTTCGGTTAAAGAACCGGTTCGGCTTCTGCTTTACCAAGAAGGATCCCGTTTTCGGTTTTTATCGCAAGCGAACTCATCCGCTTTCATTTTTTACCTTCGAGTCTCCTAGTACCATATACGACGATGCAGCAGCAGCAACAACAGCCGCAAGCAACGACGCAGAACTCCACGCCGCCGCAGCCTTCCTTTGCGGGGTCCACCACGGCGGAAGCACCGCCAAAACAGGTGGCGCAGGCGATGGAGCGGCTTTCTCAAGCCAGCCGCCTCATCGCGGACATTAGGATTGGCGCCGACCGCCTCCTCGAAGCCCTGTTCGTGGCCGCTCAGCCGCACCAGAGCTCCAAGCCTCTCCAGTTGTTCCTCAACGAGGACGCTTCCATGCGCCAACACCTCCTCGACCTCCGCTCCGTCGGTACCTTCTCCTCCCTCTCTCTAGGGTTTAATTCGCAATATGCTATCTCGCATTGAAAAATCCTCGAATTTTTAGGGATTTGGTGCTAATTTTTGTTAGGAAGACAGCTGGAAGAATCTGGAGTTTTGAACGAGTCTCTGCGATCGCGGAGCAATTCTTGGGGATTACACATGCCGTTGGTTTGTCCGGATGGCGCCGTGGTTGCGTATGCTTGGAAGCGGCAGCTCGCCGGCCAAGCTGGTGCTTCTGCAGTTGACAGGACCAGGTTGGTTTCGAGTTTCATGGAATTGGTCTTCCTGCTTGTTAGCATTGCCTCGCTGTTTCCTTTACTCGAAAATTCATGATTAAGCGATTTTTTTCTGAAATTCAAAAGCATATGGAAGCTTCTGTTCCCAGAAAGTATAGATTTTGAATAATTTTCACTGTAAAAAATATGGAACCAATACAAGTTTCGTAATTTCATAGCAGGTTTCGAATCTGGTTTTTTGAGGATTATATTTAGTGGTTGTGTATTTTGTTGTGTTGACCTTTGAAGCCATTTCTTGAATTCTGTTATTCAATGTTTTAGGCTAGCTCTCAAGGCATTCACTGATCAGAAAAGGCGATTTTTTCCTCACCTTGATGATGCATCAAATGATCAGTGTAATGAATCAGCTTCGAAGAAGCAACGCATTTCTCAAGCACCCGCAGCACATAATCAAGAAGATGGTATAGATTGCAAAACGCTATCAGAGGTTTTAGTGCGTATGGAAAAGGTTCCTCATTTGAAAGTTTCCATATATGAACGATTGGATTGGTTGAAACGAGCATCTTCACTGCCAGAAAATGAGAGTTCCAGTGAAACATTAAAGGATCATAGTTATCATAGTTCAAGTAAGTTACGATCAGGTCCGCCTGATGTTGCACCAGATAAGGTTGCTGTCATTGAGTTGCTGTTTCCTTCTACCTTCAGAGCTGTAGTTTCATTGCATCCTGCTGGTTCTATTGACCCAGATGCAGTGGCATTTTTTTCTCCAGATGAGGTGATCTTGGTTACCACCATGCATATTTCAGTTGATCAAATTACATAGTCATCCCATGATAAACTAGCTCCAGATGCTACTTAGGTTGTATGATATTAGAGTTTGTAGTACTATCCAATCGTACAGTGGATCTGTCAGGCTGTAACCAACTGTGCGGTTGAACATCCTGAAGTAGCATTTGCATTCAATTGATGATATATCATAGACTCGGGTTTTGATGAACTTAAATCATTTGTTGTTCAACCTCAAACATATGTATCCCAGTTTCATGCTATGTTAAAACATGTCATGCATCCTGTTACAAAGCTTTTAGATTTTCAATCCCCCCCCCCCCTCTTTCCCCCCAAAAGAAAAGAAAAAAAAATCGCACTGAGCATTTTTGTACTTTTCCTGTATTCGAAACTCATCCATACCGTACGATTGAACTTTTTGACATGCTTTTGTAGAACTGATACTTGCATTCGTGTTCAAAAGAAGATGGTATATCGTAAACTCTGGCTTTGATGAACTTAAATCATTTGTTGTAATCATTGCTTGTTCAACCTAAAAACACATTTTCCAGTTTCGTGCTTTGTTGAGGTGTCATGTAGCCTGTGTTCTGTTACAAGGCCTTTAGATTTTCACTGGTTTTCGTATCATATAAGAATGTGTTTCTCTTCTTTTTTCCTCCAATCATAACGGAGCATGATTGTATTTTCATTCTATAACAGGGAGGCAGCTACATACATGCAAGAGGTGTTTCAATTTATCATGTCTATAAGCATATCACGGTAAAAGCTTTAATTGTCTATTCAAGTTTATTTTAGTCAAGTAATGGTCTTTCTATTAAATTGCGTATCATTTCTTCTTTCAGGAACATGCTGCTACTGCTTTGCAGTATTTCATTGGAGTTCGAGCTGAAACAGCTCTACATTGTCTTTTGGTACCATCTTTAGCGTGTCCCTGTGAACCAACTGTTTATTAAATTATATGCGTGCACCAGCTTATACACATTAAATTCTAACTTTCTGTGTTCATTCTATAGCATTGGATCTGCAGCTATCAAACTCTCTTTACAAAAGTTTGCAGGTACAACCTTCTCACTTTATATGTCTGAAATCTGTTACTGGCTTTGAAGTTATTGACGTTACAGTTTTGATGCAGCAAGTGTGGACGGCTGCTAGCAATGGACCGGAAATCAGCTCAACTGTTACCGCCAGTTTATCGTCCTTATCGGCAGTTCACTACATTGAATGTGTCATCAAGTTTGAATGTTTCCGGGGCTTACCATGTAGGTTGTTTCTCAGAGGAATTGTGATCTCCACTGTTGACAGGTAAAAACTGTCTGTTGTCTCAGATACGGAATTGGCAAGATAAAGAAATTATAACACATCATTCAAAGAACTCCCACTCAAATGTTGAATTTTACCTCTTTTCTTAATTTGTTTGATAGCTGTGTTGAAACTGGGTCGTGAACTTTTCATTTATGATGTTTTTTCAGTATTTCGGGAGATGGTTACAATCAAATTATCTGCTCTATAATCTAATTTCGAGTCTTGTGACAATGCATTAAATGAACATAAGTTTTCTTGTTGGTTCCATCATCAATTGGTCTTTAGCAAATTCTACAGTCATTTCTTACTTCATGATGGTCTTGTCAATTGTATGTGTTAGCTGTATTGGCACCTATGGACTGGTCTGACAGTTTTATGTTCTGTTGAATACTAATGATATGATTGCGTATCATGAAATTTACTATGAGGCTGCCTTATTCTCTTTTTTGGTTCATACTGTTGAAACAACCGTTATGTTGGTCGTTGGTTTATTTAATCAAGAAAATTATCATAACAAACTTGTTGATCACTAGTTAGAAGTTGTACTCGCTTTTCTTTCTAACTGAATTGCCATGCTGCCTTTCTTCCTTTTCCTTGTTATGGTTTGATTGTTTAATGATAGGTTGTCTTATTTTTTTTCGAATATTGTGTTTTTGTTAAAGTTTACTAGCATGTGTGTTCCTCCGATTCAGGTGCTATTATCTTTAATCGGCATAAGTCACAGTTGTGCTATGGGAAATTGCTCTTCTGATATTGCCCAATAGATCTTATTTGTAGAAAAAGATGCTAGCAGTGTCTAGACAGAATTCGTGACATTCATGTATGTGATCTTACTTCTATAACAAGGCCGAGTGCTTGACATTTGAGAAATAAAACTTGTAATTCTAGTTTGTTGCAGCGAACCGTCGTAATTCGATGTTAGGTTAAAAGGAAACTCGATATACCTGTTGTGGGATTCGTTGTTCGGCTTGTAGGATGTATACCTTTTACTCGCAAGAGTAGATGTCACCTACATGCTGTTCCTATCATCATTTTGAGTGCAATAGTTGCATACTTGCATGAAGCCTGCTCGGGTGTAATGTGAATGTAGTTTGCATTGAGAGATCAGATTGAAATATTTAGGTTGTTAAGGAGGTCACGTCCGAAAATGGGAAACGGGGACAAAGGGATTGGGCAAATGTGCTTCCTCAATTGCCTTGCCAATCAACTTTCTCTTTGACATGTACGAAGTTACAACTTACAAGTGTTGTTCCTTTGAAACTCACATGCTTTTTCAGAGTTTGCTGATTCGACTACAAAATATTATGGTGTTACAAGTTCAGAACGTGTGGCCTGTGTTTGGTACGCCTCCTTAGGGCTTAGGAAGTATTGTTTTAGGATTTGTTTGGAAGTGCTTTTAAAATGGCAGAAAACACTTTTGATGAAATTGCTTTCGGAACTAGTCCTTAGTAAAAATGCAAGTGAAGTTGGAAAAGCACTTCAAGTGCTTTTAGAACCCAAATACTCACCAAACGCACCTTCAATCGTTTTAAAGCACTTTCATACGGCCATTCAATACTACGGTCTGGTGGTATTCTTCTTTACTTGGAAATGAGAGGTCTTAGGTTTGAATCTCATTGAAGGCGAATTCGATATCAAATTAGGTTGTCCACTGTGTAATTTAGCCGAATTCTCCATTCCTTTAATATAAAAATATCGATGTACTCAAAAAAAAAAAAAAAAAAAAACTTTCAAATGAGCCCTTAAACAAGACCAGTAACCCACCCTTCTTGTCATGAGTGACTCGGTTGTGCGGGGCTATATTGAAGGTATTTTGGAGGAAGAAATAGATGACAATTGTAGGGATTAGCAGGATATCTTTTCTTTATGAGTAACCCTTAATTTGGACAAAATGAGGAAGTTGTCAGCTATTTATTTTTTTATTTTTGAAAATACTTTTAACATAATGAGTAGTCATATTCAAGCTAATCTTCTTAATTAATGAGACCATATAGCCCCCGTGAGCGAATTTGGTGCGTTGTGGGATTCATTTGTATCAATGGCCTACATATTTCAAACACGCGTGGACGACTGACAAGACCAAACCAACAAGGCATTGCCACCTGTGGAAAATGAAAGAGTGATTAGGTGTCATGCAACAGCAATCATGTCAGGAACTCACTTGCGTTGGTTGGTGTTATTAGCACTAATAATGCTGACCACCGCCACCACCACGCCTTTGGCTCTTTCGATTGGTCGTGGCTTTCCGCGTTATAGAGAGGGGCCCACGAGACCTTGTCATCTTCCTCAATCTTAGGGACTGATTGAACCCCCTAAAAGTTCCACTTGACACCCCCATGACCAAGTATGTAATTCCAGTAGGGCCCACAAGCATGAACAGCATGGTGGGCTCCGTGTGTTCTTTCATTGATTCAAAACACTTAATTTTAGGGAACTTTAACGAAAAGCACCCGGTACTGTTCACTTTAACGAAAAACCATATTTTTACACTAAAAAGTCAATCCTGGTACTATTCACTTTACCCTTTATTTTGTCCTTATCATTAAAACTCAAAGTTTTCAAGCCCTTTTCATTAGTTTTCCTTTAATTTTAAGGAAAATTAATAAAAATCGTTTGAATTTTTTGAGTTTTAATGATAAGGACAAAATAAAAGGTAAAATGAATAATATCAATATTGACTTTTTAGTGTGAAAATGTGATTTTTCGTTAAAATGAACAGTATCGAGAGTTTTTCGTTAAAGTTCTCTTAATTTTATGATTGATGAGGTTTTATTCTTTTATTATTATTATTTTTTGATATTGTTATATTCCTACAAGCAATAGAACTACTCTATGCTTTATTAAGGCAAAAAGGAGAGTTGGAACAAAAAACACAGTGGGTTGAAGGGGAAATGTCATATCCACTAGGACAATTCACCACTACAGTAACGAGGCTGTTTAGAGATTAATTTTTTAGCGGCCTAATTGAACCAAATCCATTACACTAATCTTGGTTCATTGGTTTTATGTCACCCTCAATTGAATTAGATCTTCAACGCCATCTCAGCTGCTGAGTTTAAACTCAATGTAGCCAACTAGCTATCAAATTACTTCAACTTAACCTTGTCTGTTGAAGGAGGTTTGATCAAACAAAAATGATTTCTGCACACTTTCTTTTTTTCTTTTGCCTGCTCCGGTTACTCTTCTTCTTTTTAACTTTTTCAGTCTAAAGACCTGAAAGAAACATGCGTGTAAAGGAGAAGAAACAGGCCGTTCGGTAATCACTTCCCTTTGATATGATCAAATCATATATTATCCTAAAGTGAAGCAATGTGACGTTGTGTGAATATATTTTATTTCTTCCTGGATTTCTAATTATTCCCAAGTCAGCACTAAATTGTTTGGTGAGATTACCATCCTGAATCAAAAATTGGTTTCCAAGAAGCTCCCTTCTCATTAATTTTAAGCTGGCACAAATGATATATAATTCTAGTCTCCAACCTACACAAGATAGCAGTTGCGAGCCTTGGCGCAATGGAAGGGTTGCTCCCTTGTGACCGAAAGGTCACGGGTTCAAGTTGTGGAAACAGTCTCTTTGCCAAGTAAGGATAAGGTTGTGTACTATAAACATTACTCCCGACCCTTGCAAGGCGGGAACCTTATTGGCTTGGGGTCTCCCTAGTACCAAACCCTAAACCCTATTGGTTAACTTCAGCCTTTACAACCAAATAAAACGCCGGAACATTCAGATTTCCGGTTACAAAAATGTTGTTACTTTCAATCTGCAACTTGGGTATGTTCTAGTTCTGTACATAAAAGTCTTCACAAGACTCGGAACAATGCAAACATTTTCATGAAACTCAGACGTGGAATTTAAAGTAAAAGATTAAGAGCAAAAGGAACCAGTTCTTGTTCATAATTGCGCTCTATCTACAGCATTAGCGCGTAAAATCTTAAAAGCGGAATATATCATAGCTTACACGGGAGATCTCTACCGAAATCTCCAACTCAAAATCAACATCACAAAATATATGTTGACATTTAATCCCCCAGCAGATATCATAACACAACATACTATCTACACCCAACAGAGGATGGAAAAACAACCTCTAGAAAGGAAAATGAAGCGAAACATGAAAGTGACAAAGTACCTCCTTTACCGACCATCAGCGGAAGTAAAAGACTCTGCAAAGCCAGTTGGCCTTGCCGGTATACTCCCCTTGCTGTCTTCCAGGTCCAGATAACCGGAGTCCTTTCCTTCTGCGTCCTGCCAACCCTTCACCATCTGGTTAAGCGGCTGGCTATAATCAATCCCAGAATACTCCTCATTCTCATCATCGACAGGTTTCCATTTTTCAACAAGCGGGGACAATACATTCACGGCATGGCTCATATCCGGTCTTTGGCTGGGTTCCCTTGCAGTGCAGTGCCCAGCGAGTTCTGCAATTATAGCGATGGTCTCAAATGTTTCTTCTTTTCTATCAAGAGTTGGGTCAATAGCAGCCATGAGTTTCTCCTTATTCGATTTTATGTGCCAGAACCATGCAGCCAAGTATTGGCTTTCTTCAGGTCTATCCTCATCTAGTGCCATCATTCCAGTTAATAGCTCCATCAACACAACCCCGAAACTGAAGACATCTACTTTCGTTGTGATTTTTCCCGTCACTGAATCAATCAGCAAGTGAGGTGGAGTTAGCAGGATTGATCACAAGCATCAAAGGAAGACAACAGAAATTAAACAAGTATATACTGCGGAATAAAGAAGTTAAACCTTTAAATCCTAGCAAATGGTGTCATAGTTTGATAATAATTCACAAACTCTAATATTCGGTCCCAAGAAACATATATTTCCGAAGATACATTAAATTCAATTCATATATGTTCGCGATAGCGTATTTGTGCAGCGGGTAATGCTGCTAAACTCATGTTGTGTCAGCTATACCATTTGAATGTGGGGAAATATACAAATCATATGTACATGAAACATCAATCATCAGTAATATAAGTTGGAAACGTCTCAGAAAGCTTACCAGCATACTCTGGTGCTAAGTAACCAAAAGTCCCGGCAAGCCTGGTCACAACGGATTTTTCACCATCAGGAGCCAGTTTCACCAATCCAAAATCCGAAACTTTTGCTTTAAAATCATCACCAAGTAAGATATTTGATGATTTAAGATCTCTGTGTATGAAGCTTTTGTGAGCTAGATTGTGAAGATAATCCATCCCCCTAGCAACATCCAAGGCAATGTTTAGCCTCCTCTTCCAAGAGAGCGGCTCTAATTCGAAGGTCTTCCAATGGAAAAGATGCCTGCTCAGAGCACCTTGAGGCATATATTCATAGACGAGCATTCTCTCATTTCCTTCAACAGAATAACCCAAAAGTGATACCAAATGACGGTGTCTGACCTTTGACAGAACTGCAATTTCGGACTGGAATTCATCCAA